GACAAGACCCCTTCCTTATAAAAGGGGACACTAGTTTTATCTTATTTACGTTGATGCCATCACTTGTTCACAAATCTTTTACTACCCATCCAAGAATATTTTTATACGCAATAATTACACAAGATTTTATTCTCTTTTTTTCCAACTAACTTTATTACTAATAGAAAACCCTTTTTTTCGTGCTAAAAATGTAAATAGCATCATCAAAATGAAAATTAGAGGTAATACGATCTAGTTGTACCTAAAATATGTAACCAAAATATAAAAAAAAAAAAGGTTACATAAGCAAAGGATCACAAAATAGGTTATGCGATTATGCGATCCAATGTTGCATTAGATTTCCCCAATGCTTTTTGTATCTCCTCGAGTTAATTGTATTGATGATATCGCCGTCCACGATTTATTTGTTGTTTATGAATTATCGTAGAAAAAAAATTGAGAGACACATTCAGTAAATTCAACAATATTTTTAACTTTAGAGAACATGTTTTCCATTTTTATTAAAAGTTTAAATATTATATTAGTGTTACGTAAGAATATGATTATCGTAGATATGATAAGTACACTATTCTAGTGGATAATATATGCTCTATATATTAGATGCATCATTTACTTCATTATATATCTAGATTGATGTATAAATTTATTAAGTAGTAAGTTTGGGATTTGGGTTGTTCTAGTTAGCATATACAATTTTAATACTTTAAAATTTCTAATTATGAGCATAGTTCACTAAACTTAAATCAAATCTCATCTTGACCTATATATAAATAAAACACAAGAATATAGTAGATCCATTTACCCAACAAGATCGATGCAATTTGATTCGATTTATGGAACACTATCGTGTGTTATTGCTCTGTTGGTGGTAATTACACTATCGTTTATCGATGCAAAAGAGTTGTCTACCATCAGCGAATAGACCTCCTATGATGTAACACTATTGAACATAAACCTTGTATGAATATTTTATTATATGAGTGGTCACTTTCGTACTCATCAAAAATCTGCTTAGCTGTTCTCCGACATTGAGACATAAAAGGATTCTCCAACATTGAGTGGATAAAAGGATGGTCATCAATTTGAATTTATTAATAGAATTTGCTTGTTAGTTTTAGGAAAATTACTATTTACCCAAAAATTTAACTTTCGATACCCCTTACACTCGTGTGAAGGCCATGCTTCCTAGCTATATAGCCTTTATAGGGTATGGAAGAACCAAGTTTAAAAAGGTAAACTATATTATTTTATCTGTCAAAACTCGTGGGATAATAATGGGGTTGCTTGCGAATAATCATCAACAAATATATGTAACATCTTCTGCTTTAAACAATAGGTGCTATCTAAATTTTTACGAAGTTGAAAAATTCGTGGGATTTTTGGTGTTGTCTAGAATAATATCGTAATATATTAGAAAAGGTGAGGTTTTGTTATTTTCGTATCAAGGAACTCTTTGGAGACATATGATAATTAAACCCATCTTTATTGAGTTAGGAGACTTGACATATATAAAAATACATAATGGTTGCTACTTGCTAAATAGACACGAGGATAGGTAACGAATTCAGAAAAAGGAACAAAAACGATAAGTCACATCCATTCAACACTAAACTGGAGATAATTCTATCAACTTAGCAATTATAAACCTAGGTATTATACAATAACATTCAGATTCAGAACATAGTGCGCGAGCTCCAAATAAGTTATGTCCGTCTAATAGTAGAATATTACTCTTTACAAAAGGATAAATAAGAATTTTTACGAAACTATTCAACTGATCTCTTCAATCACCTTGGCTACCTCTTACAATTGATCTCTTCAGTCACCCTGAACTAGCACATTGACAAAGGAAAAAAATACAGCAAGATTAGATTTGAATTGTATCTTCTCGTTAGGCGACAACTCATTTTAATACCTAATTCATTTATTAAATGAGTCCAAAGAAGATAATTTGAATTTATAAAAATCCACATAGATAATAACTCCGTTAGAAATCTAACCATATATAGACATTCAAAACAAACAAATTTCAACTAAACCATTTAAATCGTAATTAGTGTTATACCCAATACTGGAAACCCTAGCTAGCGAGATGGTTTTGACTTATGAATTTTGTAACATTGTCGAATTGAAGTCTCCTAACATTTTAGTTACTTCTTTAATACTATGCTTCTTTAATTACTTCAAATCAAAGAATTAATAAAAAAATCATAAACTCAAAGTAAAACCGATCCTTTAGGGCATCCGTATTGGTGACACCCTAAGGGTGTCATCCAATATTAAAATATTAAAATTTGAGTAAAAGTAAGAAAGAGAGTGTTTTTTGTTGAAAAAGTGTGGTGTATTGAAATATAAAATTAATAAAATTTGAGTAAAAAGAGGAGATAGAAAGAAACTTTGGAGAGAGGGTGTCTATAGGGAGAGTGTTTTGACACTTTTGGAGAGTGTTTTTTAGTGGGTTTTGTTGTGTTTAAATATAAAATTAATAAAAATTGAGTAAAAGGATGAAAAAGAAGGTATAAAGTTGAGTAAAAGGAAGAGAAAGTATGTTTTTTAATATTTTTTTATTGGATGACATTCTTAGGGTGTCACCAATAAGAATGGCCTTATGTTTTCGAGTATTTTTTTATCATTTCGTAAGAGGACGAAAAAGCACTTTACAGAAAAAACAATAAACAAAAAAGGGTCACGTTTTTTCGTTCCATGACGTGGCAGCTTGGTATTCTATCTGGAAGTTCGACTGTTCAACATCATTCATGGCGCAACAAAATTCCCAAAATACCCTCTGAAGCAAAGTGAACGCTTTTTCCATCTTCTCCAATCTTTTTCCGGCGATCCAACACTCATTTACACTAATTCCGAAAGAATGCTCATCATACATAGTATTAAACTTGTTTACTAATTAATTTCTGTGTTAAACTAAGATATAATTTTTATATTGCATTTCATTTTTATTAAATTAAAACTTAAGATATACAAAAAAATTCATAAGTGTAAAGTAATCGTGTAAATATAATCGGACAAAGGTAATTAGATTTTTTTTTTTGTAAAACAACAGTTGAACGTTCATCTAGGTGATG